GCAAATTTAGATATCAAAACTTTTTCTCACTTCTCTTTTAACTGTGGGAAATCGTTATTGAAAATCTCAAAATACAACAAGAAATCTTATACCATCAAAGTAATACGATTTTTAATAACAGTGGGTCACTTTAATCTTAAGTGCATGTTCATGCAACTTTCCAAGCTAAAGTATATACATGTATATTTCATGTTTTGTAAAATATTATGCTAATAATTTAACATTTCCTCTTTGTTAAAACGCACTCTTTCAGACGATGCTGGAAATAGTTATTTTTTCAATAAAACTACATTACCATATTTGTCTCTTACTTACTGTCTTTATCTCTTGACACCCATTTCGTCCTATAATCATCACAACATTAAAATTATCAAAAAAAAAAAACATTAATTTTAAATTCTATTTTATTTTTCATAATAAACGCAAAGATTGAAAGCTAATGAAGAAAATTACTTTGAAAAGCTCAATTTTATTTTGAGAAATAAATAAAAAGCGTCTTTTAAGTATATTTAAGAGACAACGAAAAAATTGTGTTAGTAATATAATATTTATTTCGTTATATTGTCGTTCCGATAACTGAACGATTAATTAATTATATCAGGTATAACCAAGTTTTTCGTTTAATTACACAATAACTTTGACTATTCTAGGTATTTCATGCTTTTGGCACATAACCATTAGGTAATAATGCACTTATTATAATATTTAGAAAACCCTCCCGCCCTCCCCTCCCCTCCCCTACCATCCCCTCCCCACCCGCCATCATAAGCACGCGCATACGCAAATAAACTAATAAGGATAGAAACCCCTCCCGCCCTCCCCTCCCCTCCCCTACCATCCCCTCCCCACCCGCCATCATAAGCACGCGCATACGCAAATAAACTAATAAGGATGGAAATCGGGAAAGACATGCGCAGGAAAAGACAAGATTTATGCGCTATTAAGATTTATCTTAATAGAAACTAACTAATCAGATGCTTAACCACTTGTGTGTATAGGCAAGGTCGTTATTTATTTACTTAATATTAAAGAAAAATACAACAACTTGTTATTTCAAATATTTGCTTTGAGTCGCCTCATGTTCCATACAATTTTTATCTTTTCACAAGCATAAGTATCAGGGATTAATTTTTTATGATATTAATTCGGTTTAAATTGATATCGAACGCATTTATAAGTTGATATCCTTGAGATCTACATAGTCAAGCTTCGGAGATTCTTTCACAGAAATAATCTAATTAAATTAGAGATAAAAATATTACATATACACGAATAATATAGAAATAAATAATACGTGCGTATGCCGTCTTATATATTACAATTTCTAGTATTCCATATATCGACTATTCCAATGCCTCTTTCTCTGTGTATTCCTAGTATCATAATTTTCAAAAGTCACTAACACTTTCAAAAGCATTTAAATCAACTCAGCCGTTATAAAACCATATTTCAAAGGCTATAAGAATAATTGAGGAAGGAGTTGTCAATTTTCTAATTAAGTTGGCCGAACGTAAGTATTTTTGCGTCCGCTCATTCGTTTTGATGCCAACTTTATTAACCCGATGATGTCGTCGAGCTGTCTACGACATCTTTGCCTACGGCTCATGTGAAACTTGACCTTACCCGCTCGTACATCGCGCCGAGGTTTCCTTTGCGTCGGCGTTTCTTTCTCTTTTAACTGGCGGGCGACTTTTAAATAAAAATTTCACTAAAAGTATCCGGCTGCCATCGCTCTCGTTCTTTTTTTCTCTGTCTGTGTCATTTTCTTCACTTTTCTTTCTTTCTCATTGGACAGCGTTCTCTAATGGATATTATGTTTACAAATTACATTCCGTTACAAAGATTCATATGCTTTCATTAAGATAATACGGAGACTTTGTAAATATTGTGAACTTGGTGCTATCTCACACTTTTTCTCATATTTTATTATTCCTAGCGCGATAAAATCGAGAACACGTTAAAATGACAATGAATAACAATAATTTGATATGTGCTTGGACAAGATCTGCACTAATAGTAATTTTACAAGATACCGACACCGACAGTACGATTATCGCTATGTTAGATAGCCTTGTAGTAAGCATAAATTCCTTTTCAATGCATTTTAATTAAATGATTTTAGTTAAATGATAGCCAAGTTGCATTGAAGACTATTGATTAAGAAAAGTCGAAGTCATTGAGCCGACTGAACAAATATTTACATAAATACTTAAAGAATAAAATGTTTTGAGTAATGGAACTTTTATGTAAATATATCATCAATATATTCATCATGAAAATAGAATATTAAAAAATAAACCATTGCTTTGCAACTAACAATTGCGTGCATTCTTTAGCTACGCATATTATGGATTTTTCTCATTATATGGCGAATAAAATGTGTTTAACCTTTTCTATGAGATTTTGCTATAAATGACGAAATATTTTTGTTCAAATAATAAATTAACGAGTTTTTCTTTACGGTTATGTATATATATATATATATATATATATATATATATATATATATGTACTCCTATGAATTACAAAATATTATTATTATTATTTATTGTTGGCTAGAATTAGACTTTAATAATCGATATTATTGAAAATTTGTTTCAAAGTTCTTTTCTGTAGCTCTTAAACTAAGCTATGACATTATCCTAATAAGTTTCTCATAAATATATAAGACACACGTCATAATTCGTGCAAAACCCAAAGAATATATATCTTATCGGTTACTTACGTTTTCTTACAAAAATATCTAATTAAAAAAGATGATGTTTTGTTGTGAATTCTTAATTACAAGATCGTTGGAACCCTACACATAAAATCATCTTATTGTCGATGTATTCTACTTACACATACTATAGTAATAAAAAAAAAACAATATACGATATCGATTTTGATAATAATCCCTCCTGGATAATATTGCCACCAATGTTGAAAAATCTTTACCCTACATTCCTAAGCCACGCTCGTACATACGTTTTTCGTCTCTCCTTATCGTCCGATTTCTCTCATTGGCATTGCAAAGAAAATAGCGATCTGCCGAGCCGATAATGTCCACCTCGAGAATCTTATCTCTTTTTCATTTCTGCCCGTATTTAAGTAATCACGATAAAGCCCCTTGATACTTAATCCCGTCAATGTTACAACCCGTTCATCCATACATACATACATACATATAGGCGTGCGCGCGTGTACGCGCGCGTGCGTATATATATATATATATATATCACGAAGCGCGAATTCGAGCGTCGCGGAGTCGAGAAAGAAAAAGCATTACGGTATTATGTTGTTGCACGAACTGCATTGTTTCCTTCGCACTCACGTCCTGAGAATTAGTCTGGTTTTGGCTAAGTGCATGCTCGCCGTTATAAGCGAGTAGTGACGTTACGACGTTCGTGTGCGTTGTTCTTACTGCAAATCGGTGTCATGAATTATAAACCATCGTGGCGACGTCGGCTAACGTATTGAAATTCGAGGTTTATTTAAAACTTTTTTTTTTCACCTCTTTGTCTTTTCACTCATTCAATACTCGCCTAAATTCTGCCAAGTGATAAATTTTCCGAACCCATTATACCTAAAAGTTTATTATACCTATTTCGTGCTTCTTTTTTTTTTTTTTATCTAAATATAAATCTTTCTTCGTTTGTTTTTTTTTTTTTTTTTTTTTTTTTTTTTTTTTTTTTTTTTTTTTTTTTTTTTTTAATAAAATAGTGCAATGGCATGACCATTTGATAAGCTGCCAATTATATAAATGTGAATTATATCGAGTGAAATATTGTAAATTGTAAAAGATTGATCAACAACCCTCTAAGCGATTTATAAAGTAATTAAGATTCCGAATTTCTAATAGAGAATGCGCTATCAGATATTATTTATGGTGAACCAATAAATCGCGAATGCAGAAAAAGAAAATCAGTCGTTTAATGTTTTCAAATATATAGATTGGATTATATTTTTTCGCCCTTATTATGGTTTTTAATTGTATTAATAACGCATAAATTATAATTACACGTACACAATACACAATAAATAATACGATAAATAATACGAAGCAAGATATTTTCTTTTGTGTTAATGTTCAGCCATTCCAAGTAATATTTGCACAATGCAGATTATTTTATAAATATTTGAAATAATTGTATAATCATAATAATGAAAGTTACTGTGGATTTCGTATGTTTTATCCATGCAAAGGCGCTGCGCTTGATATGCGAAAACCTTTATTTACTTAATCGTCGATATCGCAAATTCGGAAAAGTAATTTTTATGGAAATAAAAAGTGCGTCGCATAGGCGAGAAAGAAGGATTTCGGTCAGACGCGGGAGCTGAATCAGCCGAAATGCAACATTACATCAGCCGAATTTGAATATACGCGTTTCCACTGCAGCAACCGCTAAAATCGTAATTTGACAATAAATTCGAAATGGGACCTACTTTTTCGAAATATTCTTAACATACTTTTGCCGTAATGCCAATCAAGAGCTTTAATTTTATCGGCATTTTATTATTTCCAGATAATTCTTGTTTTAAGCAGCCAACTCTCGTCTCAAGTAATTTCTTGACATTCTCAAAACAGAATTAACAGATAACATGTAAATAAAAATGTAAAATCAGCCCTATCCTTCAAATATAATATATAAAGATAGTTGGTTAGTAAAATTTTTAAGATAATTTTACCGGCAATTTTAATATCGAATTGACATTTGTCCAATGCCATGCGAAGAGAACTGGGAAGGAAGCCGAAGCATCGGCGAGTTATTCTGACCAATAAAGTAAAATAAAAGTTTGCGCCCAAAGCCCCATTGCCAGCAGTAAAGCAAATTGTACATGTAAACAAAATTACGAAGACTCGTAAATAGCCGCTTCGACGTCTCGACTTCTTAACGAGTACAACGAGTCGCTTACGTTATGACATTTCTCCGTATTCCCTCCCATCGCTCCATCGCTTTTCGCAATGAAGTTATCACGATGACGCTCGCGCATAATGCCTTTGTCAATGCTGTTTGCAGGAACGTGGAATTATTTATGAATGGATGGCGGTTCGACGGAGGACGCGGGAGCTGGACCGTTTGCGGGCCTGGGAGGTCTGGAAAGATGGCGGACTCATTCGCGAATCGCTGCCTGGTGCCTCGTGCTCTGTGGCTCCATGTTACTAAACGCCACCCTCCTCGTGGCCTTCATCAGGAGGCCAGGATTAAGAACCATATCCAACAGGTTGGTTCACCCCTTCTCTTTTTATTCCGTTCTAACTGAGTTGCAGAACGAGTTTGATGGCTCAACAACTAGTACGTTCGATTACCTTGAGCATATTGAAGAATTTTTTTTTTCTTTTTTATTTAGTTTATTTTTATTTGGTTGGTCAAGATCAATCGTTTGACAGATATATAATTTAACTGAAATGCAGATAGAGCTTGACAAACGGCTGAGTCTTAATAATACTTCGAGACATTTCATAAAAGTGAAAAATACAGACTTGTAAAGAACGTATATAATTTTCACACAAATTCATGAAGAGCAATCGAAACATATTGCAGATGATTTATTCGAATGATGCTCCTTACATGTCTCGTATTTTGATAAAGTATTATCTTATTTCAAATAAAGTAATACACATTTTATTGTGCGAAGCTAAAGTAAATGCAAATCTGACACGACATAAAAGTCTTTCGAGAATTGAATCCGTCACTTGTGTATAAATATTTTTATAGTACGACTTATATAAAATATAAAATAAAAACTATACTACCTTTATTCATCGGTACAATATTGTAAAAAAGTTTTTACTATATAATAAGCTCATAAAGCTACAATTCCTACGTAAGAAATATGATAAAAATTCTTTGATAATTAATGATAATTTGTATAATACGAACAGTAGTTGAATTTTCGTACCAATAGGTAAAAAAAAAAAAAAAAAAAAAAAAAAAAAAAAAAAGAAGAAGAAAAGAGTAAATTAATGTCTTTCTGTTTAATTTTCCTACTCTGTCGTTCAATAAACGTTATCTATAAAATGTACAATGCCGCTTTGCATCTGTATTTACCATACGTTACTGTAATAATGTAATAAAGCTGTTCCGCTGATTTCCGGCTTTAACTATTCGGTCTGCAAAGAATCAGAGAATAACCGACACGAGTTTCGTAGTTTCGAAATCGCTTAAAAATCGTCGTTCGTGTCCCTACAATCAGGAAACCCGTAACAAAAAATCACTCCTTTTTTAATGTATTTAACCTCTATTGTGTCGTCGTGTGCTTGTGCGTGTGCTTGTATGTATGTATCCCACGCAGATCGATCACGATCATAATTTGTACGACGTTTGCGGAGGCGCGCTGCGTATTATTATTACATGCCCTTGTCTATCAAAATTAAAGTTTAAAAGAGGTTTTGAAAAATAGTATAACAGTGTGAAGATAGTCATCTTGTAGAAATGATTTAATTAGGAAACTAGTCGACCCCACTAAATGGACGGACCTTTTTATATTCGTTTTGTTGAGTGACAGGAAATAAAACGTCTTTGTATAAAGAAAAATTGATGGCCATTTCAAATTAGAATGACGTACTGATACCGAGTAAAAAATATTATATATTAAAAATATTATTCATACATTTAAGATATTGCACGAGTATTTAATGGCGTTCGAAAATGAATTAGATTGTAAAAATTAAAAATGCTACGTATAATTAGTACGTCAAGTAATAATGAAATTAAGATATATTGGAACTAAAATTTACAGCTATAAAATAATTATCGTCACAAACGATTATTCAAATTGTTATTGACATTGTATTTCTATAAACTGAGAATATTCTTATTTGCTTAAAAAAATAAAAATAAAATAATAATAAAGAAGTAAACTCTTTTTACAATTATATTTTATTATAATAATGAATAAATGTCACATAAATAGTTGAAATATTGTTATTAGCGAGTGTGCACTTTTAGCAAAGTCCACGCTGTCCGAGGAAATCAATGAAAATTAAGCGAGTCGCACAAATCATGTCGACTCTGCAAACATTTTATGTTATTAATTTTGAAAATACCATTAAATATTAATCTACAAACAAACATAAGTGATATATTAAAGCTGCTCGATCTAATCGGCGATTATGATCAAGTAACGATTATTTACGTACGTAACAATATTGTTTTATCATGACTGGCGGTGAATTGAGAAGTACATTGGTGTACTTACAATTAATTATAATAATACGAGGTATGGATATTTGATAAATAGCGAGCGGTAGTAAGTAGAAAAATTTCCTTATATTAAAACGGTTTGAGCAAAACGATTTGCAGAATTGAAATTGCCAAGCGTGAAATGTCTGTTGTACTTCTCATTATTGGACAATGTAAGCACCAACGCTTGAGCAAGGATAAACGATGATTAAGTATTGCCTATATATGAAAGCGTTTAGTGGCCACGGTAGATCAAAAGGTTGTATATATTTCTTCTTTTTTCTTTTCTACGTTGCAAGCGGCGTTTTAAAGATTACACGGCCTAGCAGATGCTAACATTATAATACCAAACGATTGTTCTTTGTTTCTTTTTCGTCGTTTTATATGTCCGTTGTTAAAACTCATTGCATTGTTTTAAGAAGTAGAAAAATTTTCTTAATCCGAATTGAAAGATCAATTTCATTGATAACAATGTTTCATAAATGACAATTACAGCAACTATAAACGACGGCTTCGTATATTTTACTCTAAGAAAATATTTTTATTCCTAAATAATAATAATAATAATAATAATAATAATAATAATAATATATAATAATAACGTAACTTACACAATTTTATTGATTTTCAAATAAATTGTATTTTTTATTTTGTAATTGTTTACTGTTTAGAACTATCGTCTTAATAATACATAAGAAAGAACAAAATTAAAAACAAAATGTATATAACAAGGGATCGATAATGAAGTATCATATTTATGTAAATAGAATTATATTGAAATTCTGTTATTAATCGATAATAACTTTTTTTTCTTATATTTTAAAATAGGTTATTTTTATTTTTATTATTTTTGTAACTGGATAATATTTGCATAGCGGTAATCAACATTTATTTAATTATGGTTGTAAAATTCTTATACTTACAAGTTTATCTGTAAATTAAGAAACTTAAGTATGTTATGAGTATGATATTAAATAATGTGTATTCCTTCTAATCTATATACAAGTACTTGATATATAAGTACTATTCCAGTAGCAACATTATAAGTTCTAATATAATGTTGGCATATTTGTTATTTTTAAACTAATTTCTAACAAATTACTATTAATATATTTTTAAATATTCATTTATACTTTGACTAACAAATTATCAATACAACTTATAATCAATATGATTTTTTTATCGCAATTTTTAAGGCAATTGAGGCTAAATAAAACAAATTTTTAGCTTTAAAATATTTAATAATTGTAATTTATTACAATCTTAACACGAGTATTTTATCATTATCAATTAAATATTTAACTATCAAATAGTATTCTTAAATATTATAAAAAAAACTTTTATTATTGAATATTTAATAAATAAGGTTCTTTAGAATATCAATATATTTAATCGATCAATGTATTTAAAATCCCAGGATTAATAGATTAAATATTTTATATATTATTTCAAATAAATGTAATATTTAAATATAATTATTTAAAAATTTTACAGTAATTATGCTTGAATATCCAATGGTTTTTACGTGTTTAAGAATAATTTAATCGTGAATATAATCGTATATAATCGAATAATATAATCGTCTCTAATTGTTTATCAGATTATTATTTCTTATACAATTATATTCAATTTAATTCTAAGTTACCCAAAAAACTATAACGATTTCTTACATATTTATTACATATTAACAACTTTTCTTATTAATCGGTAGTATTAATAGTTTAATGTCTAAATGAATAATATTTGTATATATATATATATATATATATATATATATATATATAAATACAAGCTTATAAATTTTACTTTCCGTTTAAAATATAAATGCGTCTACTTTTTAATACAGAATATAAGAATATTTATCCTGCACATTAGATTGAAAAAAGTTTTCATTTTCGATTCTATCGAATTTCCAATACATTAACTCATTAACAAATTATATTAAATTAGATTAAAGTAAATTAATTATAGAAAAAACATGCTATTATCGCAATTTTTATAGGATCGCGTTCTAATAAATATGTGCTTTTGACGAGGGCAAACGAAATTATAGTTATAAGAAAAAATAAATTTTCATGCGTAATTTAAATACTCTCAATTCTAAATATACTTCAAGCATTTTTTTTTATTTTTTTTTCTTTTTCTTTTTTTTTTATATGAGGGCGTCACACTTAAACCATTATTATCAATACATTTCGATGATTATTCTATCAAAAGTAGGAATAAATTTTTTCCCGTTTTCACGAATGAAAATAAGTAAAGGAGCGAGCGGAAGTGGAAATGCTAACAAAAACAATAACACGATGGTAGAATGTAATGCGATATCTGCTACTTGAATTTGCGACCCCAACTTTCATAAATGCGTAACGCGTGCGTGTGCGCGCACGGGAACGTCAACGACTTCCCGTTTGTGCATCACACGACGTCGTTATTAATCGCGGACTCGTTTTCGTGATGCCGTAAGCATGCGTGTAAACTGGAGCGCATTTAATTGAAATGCCTGTTGAAAGTTTTGGACTCGTCCGAGTAAGTTTATTTCAGAGCTTTGATAATGGAGTTTCAGGATTAATGAATCATCGAGTACTTGGGGCGTAGTTGCAATGGTCATAATTTTTATTGCACGTCGATTTCGAAGCATTTACGTTGGCAGCTTATTTAGCTAGGAAGAATGAATATGAATTTTAGAAGATCAACCTCGGAAGTAATTGCTTTAAGATGTCTATAAATAAATATAAATAAATGTAAACAATTTTTCATTAAATAGAAAAAGCATTGTGTATTATTGGAAGTGTCGTCGTTCGTGCATTTGCTATTTATTGTACTGTTTTGTCGAAATATTTGAAATTAGCAAAAAATGGAGAAGAAAATTTTCAATTCGTGACTGTAGCTGGAAAATCGAATGCTGCGAAGCGTAAAAATGTTATCTCATATTGTGTTGTTATTCTAATCAGTTAAAAAAATAAAACAAAAACAAAAATAAAAAAAAAAACTCGATAAACTTGACGATATCCAGACAACCATTAATTTTGGTGATTATTTACAAACACGTTTAAATAATCGTGTCAATGCGATTGATAAGCAATGCATAATAATTAAAAACTAGTACAATGCCAGAAATCATATGAATAATTAATTATTTATCTAAATAAATTTATATATTTTATTTTCATATGAACAATTTATTATTTTAGGTGAAGATACACAATGGCTATTTGTCCATTTCAAGCACATTGACAAATCATTAATAAACGACTATGCAATACACATTTTGCTTTTAGATCGAAGAAGTTTCTTATAAAATGCTCGATTTTCTTGAAGAAAAGAGTTGATGAAAAATCAATACTAAATCGCTCTGTTTTGTTTACCTATAAAAAAAAAATAAAAAAAATTGAAAGGAGAATATAATAAAGAACAGTGGAGCTTTACATGCGCACGCATCTGCATCAATAGAGAAAAAAATAATTACGCAAGTAGAGCAAGAAAGTAAGAGAATTAGTCGCCTACAGTGACGCATTTCGCGAATAAGCTTGACGAACAAGAATCTAAAGTTAGAAGCGACAGAAACTTCATAGGCTGCTATTTCATTTTTTCACCATAGAAAAAATTAAATTGCGTTTTAAGTTTCGTGATTACATTTAAAGCTTCTAAGAATAACTGTTAACCTCGTTGGTATTATTCTTAGAAAATTCGAATGTAATGATTGATGGAGTTTCTCCGCAAATGAGCACGCATTATTGTAATTAGATAACCAATTTTATATCCAACTGTCATTTTCATGAATTAAACAGCTTTTATTGTAATATGATAATGTATATCGCGAAGCTAGATTAGTATTTAATTACACATGTATTAGAAAAGTATACGTATATCACTTATTAGTCTATCTAAATAGATTAAAATTTATACTGAGAATTTAAGCATTTTTACAAGCTCTGTGATCAAATGGATATTTTTAAATTTTCCTACATTAACCGTTTGCTATTAATAGCTGAAATTACTATAAATTAATTTTGCAATGCATTTATAAAATAGAGTTTATAGATAGATTATAGAACATTGAATATTTAAATTCGAAAAATACATGAAACAAGTTTTAGTGCAATCATTCATCTAATCCAATATTTATTGTTACATATTGTTTGATACGAGTAAGTGTATGATTTAAAAGTAGTAAATTTACCGAGTGAAGAATTTCGTATTTGTTACATTCACAAATGTTTTGCCATTTAATTATAATGTTTTGCTATGTCTGATGGTATAATAATATTTAATTTATAAGTTTTAATTGCTAAAAATACTTTTTCAAATAAAATCAACTCTACCAGGGGAATTCGTTTAATGCAAAGCACAGTTACGCAATTTAAGATCTTTGATTAAATTATAATTATATAAAAGTAGAATTAATTATAAATAATTGATTTATTAGATTAATTCATAATCTGAGTTTACTAAATCTGTAGTTATTTATATGAAAAGCAATTGCTAATTAATGTTGGTTATAAATTATATTATCGAGCATTTCGTTTCAATTAAGAAATAAAAAAAAATTGAATTAAAATCTTTAGACTGTGGGTATAATTCATAGTAGATGTGAAATTTCCCATCAATTTATTATGTAAATTTAAATCAGCAAAATAATGATTGAAATATATAGTTGCGTTAATGGAAACTTCAAAAGGGATTATTTAAAAATTATTTACTTTTTATGTTTTATTAATAAATTAATGTATACGTACACGCAAGTAACTGTAAATTTTCTGTAGATACAATCGTTTTTACAAACAAAAAAAAAACAAAAAAATAAACAAAAACAAAAAAACAAGAGTATAAATTTTGTCTCTCGAACCAATATGGTCTCTCTCAGCTCTATACAATGATGTTTCAACAATCGTTATTCATTTTGCACAATGTCAACAATTGTAATATTGAATACTAATTATTCAAATCTATAAAATCTCGATGAATATACAATTTATTATTTCCTTAAAAAAACTTCATTTCAATATTCATGCAAAATTAATAGATTGCTAGGAAGTTTGAGTACTAGAATTCAGTTGCTATTCATTTATAATCGACGAGCAGTTGGGAAAAAAAGTTATTTTCGCCATGCAAAATACCACTTTTCAAGTTTGAATTTTATTTACAAACAGAATGAGCCTTAATTAGACTTTTAAAAGATGACGAGTAATTAAGCCGACTGGCGAAGAGTAATATCAAGTATTATTATCACGAGGCATAATTTAACCGCCAAAGACATTTTCTCGTAATAAGGAAAATGACTTAAAAGAAAGTAAACGTCGGCCTTGCCGATAGGACACGCTCCGTCCAATCTCCAACATCTCTAACGATCTTCTCTTCTTTCGCAGATTCGTGATGAACCTGATCGCTTCGAATTTGCTGGCCGTAATTGTGCTCGCGGCTCTCCTAATAATGGAAAGTCGGGGCGGAGCGACGAGCCTGTGCGGACCGTCGGAGGGCGCCACGGCCCTCGTCACCACCTCCTCGATCCTCTCGGTCCTGCTAATCGGCGTCGACCAATATCTCGCGATCGTCGACCCCTTACGCTACCGGGCACGCATCGACAAACTGCGCTGTGGTCTGCTGATCCTGGCTTCCTGGCTCGTGGCCCTAGGCTTCGGAGCGATCGCGAGCCTCAATCCCCAGCCACGGAGTCTCTGGCGTCTCTGCAGGCCATCGGACGACGAGGACGACATTGGTGGTGACGATGAGGAAGCCTCGGCCGAGCTCAGCGTCCAGGAGAGTCTCGTGCTCGATGGTAACGTTACCGAGAGCGCGGACCTCGAGATACTCGGGGAGATTAGTTTGCGCCGCGCGAGCGCCACCTACGGCCGTATCTACGCTCTCACCTACGCCCTCCTCGGCTACCTGGCGCCCTTCCTCGCCATCGTCTGGATTTACTTCAGCATCTACAGGGCGGCGAGAAACAACAGCGAGAGAACGAGGCGCACCGGCTCGCGGCCCGTCCTCTCCTCGGGGAGCTTCTGCGAGGAGGCACCCCCGCCGCCTCCGGCTTTCCTCTACCCCTTCGACGACTCGAGGCGCGTGCCCAAAATATCATCGCTCTCGTCCATCGACGAGAGCGTCGAGGCCAACGCGACCAGCGGCCTCATCGAGTCTCAGGCCTCGAAGGTCGTCGAGACTGCCCAGACGGTCGTATTCACCGTCGGCGTGGCAACGCACTGCCACAACGAGGACGGGGACGCCTACGAGGACGCCGACGATAATACCAAAGAAAGCACCGAGTCCACAGTTCCTATAATAGCGCCCGTGCCCGAGGAGGACTTTCTCGCGGGCTCGGCCGAACATCAGCAGGAGTCCACGTACGGCCGGATGATGCTCGGCTGCGAGAAGCATCCCTACGAGTACGAGGACGAGCTCGAGGACTCGAGTGAAGAGGAAGAGGAAGCGGTCAGTAAGGGTAACGTAGAGCGGCCGCTCGGACCCACGGCTGGGGCGGCCCTTAGCGTCAACTTTGATTTGGAGGAGAAGCATCGGGAGCCGTCGGGCCCGCGGCCCCCGATAGTTACGGTGACGCCACCGGCTCTGCGGCCGACGGCACCGCTACATAGGCTCACCAGCTTAAAGACCGGCCACAGCTACATCGAGCACCTGCGCTACAGAATCAGCAATGGCTCGCTGTTTAAGTACCGGGAGGAGACGCGGGCCGCCCGCATAAGCGCCCTCGTCATCGTCATGGGTCTGATCTGCTGGACGCCGTACGTGTGCATGCTGGTATTGCGCAACCTCGTCGAGCCCAGCGAGGACAGTGAGGATAAGCCGATGGACGACATCGGGCCGAGCCTCGACGCCGGTGCCCTCGGCTTCCTCGTCTTAGCTACCTACGTCAGTCCGCTACTCTTCGGCTATAGGTCGCGACGCGTTAAGAGGGAGTTGCGCAAATTCTTCTGCTTCAAGCGCGAGCTCTCCTACAGGAATAACCGAAGCCTAATGGCGAAGAAGGTGCTTCGACGGCGACACAGCGGCGTCACGATGCTCGGCCAGATGGGTCTCGGCGGGGACTCCACCCTCGACAACACGCGCTACAATATTCTCAATTGTATGTACGGGAGGGTGAAGTGGCCCAAGGACAAAGTGCACTTTGTCCAGGTGCCGGACACGGCCTTGGCTGTGGAAACTTGTAGGAGCAGCTTCAGCAGCGGGGCCAGTACCCAGATATCCAGCACGTCAACCGACGAGTGTTGAGTGCTAAATTGAGAGAGGATTTGCCAAGTGTTCCTAGCTAAGGGAACGTCTATCCCAGTAGTGGAGGCTGAACGTTTCAGCGCAAAAGGACTTGGGATAGTTAGTTAGACTCGGCGATTGGGCGCGAGGAAGGGGAAGTGAATTTGATCATCGTGCGCGAGATGGAAGAAAGAAATCGGTATCGATCGAGTGCGCTAGTCTTTCTCTTGTATCAATTGTATTCTAAGGTGAGATGCTGTTCGGTGGGGCAGGTTTCACGCGCTTGGCAATTTATTAAATGAAGGAACTCTCGTTTATGCCATCTTAGCTGTTTAATCATTTTTAAAACTTTTGTGTTCCTACAAAAATGCAGTTTTCGTTTACTTTTTGTATATGGGATATAACATTCCTTGTACATAAGAGTATTGATTTGGGTAAAAATGCTCATTGGACTTGAGGACTTTCAGGACCCGTTTTTAAAGTCCTAGGAAATATCATTAGGTAAACGTAAGAGCTTATAAGTAGTGCTACGCGATAATGTATGGTAATTGAAAGAGTCGATGTGTCGATTTAAAACAGGGTAACGTATTAGTATCCTATTGATCTGGATAAACTTCGAATGGTGAGAAAGTTGGGAGGCAAACGTAGATGAACAAATCGAGGCGGTATTTTTAAACTCAAAACAAAATTCACCAAAGACATTTTTGACTGTTTGCAAAAATTTACAACAATGTTAAATCACCAATCGATCTAATCTAATAATAATGTCTTGAATCTGCCAATAATAAATACATAGAAGTATTCTAAATGATTGGTTAAAATAATCAAAGACTCCTTGTTTGAATTTTCTATAAAGCTTGAAGTTAAGTCTGAATCGTTTACCATAAATTTAAAAACTGCGTAGATAGACGGAAATTACATATTTAAATAAATATCGTGAATCATAAGCTCGAAAATAATAGTATAATAATAGATTCTGATAAAATCATTTCAAATTACATGAGTTAGAAAGGACCAAGTTAAGCAATTTGAAATTTAATTATTAACAAAGATTTGCACGCGTTGCATCTTACTCTATCCAAGGTAAAGCTTCACAATATTTGAAAACATAAATAAAAAATCGAGGAATAGTTTTTAGATGATTATTTTATTTAATTTTTTTTTTCTTTTGAAGGTAACGACGAGAGTATTAATAATGAAAAGTAGCGCAAAATTGTTGTCGCCTAATGTTGGATTTCTTGAAAATTTTTTATCTTTTATATGCACACATGTACGTACAAAATTAATTAATTAGCAACTTTTTTAAATTTCATATACATTTAGTTAGTTAGATTGTATGTGTGATTGCATGAGTTGTTGATTTATTTAACCTGAAGAATGAATATTCAATGTGTACATTCATTGTTCATTGTATGAACTTGTGTCACTCGGTTAATGCATTTTAATATTTTTAAATACATTTTTATAAATTTGCATAGAAATTGAAAGGCCCAGTGCTTATTCATCAATATAATCACATTATTTCTCTAAATAATAATAATATAAATAAGGCACACAGTTAAGTAATGAGAATTCTAACAGGTGAATTTGTTAATGTTACATCGACAATTTACCATATTTTTGACCATCGAATGTTCATCTTTTGAAATACGTGACGAAAAGCCAATTGTTCTGGAATATTTTTAGATTGCGTATGCAAAAAAAAAAAAAAAGAGAGAAAAAAATCGCTTCCAATTGTGCGCTTAGCTCACGAAATGAACGTTGAAGAACCGTTCATAAAAGACAAAAACATTTTTAAAAACATTTACTCGTCACTATTGTCTTTTTCGTGTGCATTAAGCTCCGCGAATGATTCATCACGCACTGCATTTACATCGAAAGGAAAAAAGAAAGAAATTGAGAAAGGAAAAGAATCCGCGTAACGGGGGCTTTCCTATATTCCGTCCTTTCTTTTTCTTTTTCGGTCTTCATGCACAAATGTCGTTATTCTATACGTCATCGTGTATACGACGAGAGCATTCGTATAAAGACGTTTATTAAACATCACGAGAGAAAGAGATTGATTTTGGCAAATAAACCAATGTCCCGATGTCATAATATAGCTCACTAATTAATTCGCTCTTATTAACAAAATAACAAAATCAGAAACTTACTCTCGATTTAATAAACGTTGGCGTAGTATTAGCATTGTTATGGCAGAGAGGAATCTTCGAAATACTTTCCATGACAATTACGACGCGGTATTTTCTTTTACCTCTGCAGCGAGACAAATTGTATATGTAAAATGGAGTCGAAATAACACTTGTACATATTGTGCGATAAGACGAAACATTAAATATATTTCATTTAGTACTTTTAACGACATTTAGTTTTTATATTCTTCGTTGTAAGAGAATGCAGTTTATTTGTATATAAAGTGCGAGTAATGTAAGAATAATGTAATAATGTTACGTGTGCATGTATGGGAATGAATATTTGGAAAGTAAGCTGCAACAAACAGTCGATCGCTACGAAGCCGAAAGCATTCGTGAAACACAATTTGACTTTTTTAATACTTTTTTATTTTGCACCGCTATAAATTAGTTTAAGTGGGCTGGTAAATTACCATATACTAGTCAAATATCGGAATTAAGATGAAAGCCAAAAATAATGTACTTAAATTAGCAATGTGGCATTATTATAGATTATAAGAAAATTTATTAACTCTAGAAAGCTTGTATCGAAATACTTTTAAATGACTATTAAACATTGTTTAAAACGACATTTATCAGTGCCATATTTTATGTTTTCATCTTACTGTAATTTTTATACACCTTAATTTAAGGTTATATGACATTTTGTAAAAGTAAATATTTTTCTTTACTTTCAACATTCTCAAAATAGATAAAAACTATTATAAGCCAATGTATTATCTTATTATCAATTCAAAAGAGATAAATTGTAAATACTTGCAAATAACGAAATAGTTTTTAAAATATTATCTAATGTATGCCACAAAACAACAAAACGGATTTAAACTTTCCCAATCAAAATATTTAGAAATCAGATGATAATAAACAATAAGCAAATCAAAATATGCAAAACTAGAATAATTTTTAAATAATTCACTTTATCTAATATATTAATCTATCAGGTAATTTACAAGTAAATCTGTTATGTAAATACGTAATAAAACTCAATTCCAGTACATTAAACATTAAGAAACATATTTTATATAATGTAACAAAATGTTTATCACGAACTTTATATTTAATTAATGGATAGAGTAATTTTATAATATTCATAACCATTTCGACTAACTTATTCTTTTTAATATTGAAAGTCATTTTATTCATTTATATAGTTAAAAATTAATTATTGACGTATTAGAAAAAAGTGTTACACTTATCTTTCAATCGTAGACCAAAATTAATATTTATAAGCTTACCGATCGGACAGCTCATATCGCATTTTTTCACTTCTTTAAGCATTTTACGAAGCGGTCTTGTGCACTTACTTTCCAGTATAATTCAGTAGTGTCGATTGTTTAATAAAGCTATTAATAAATTAAGTATAAAATTAATGAGATATAGCCATGATCATTCTTTACAGTATAGTTAAATCGTATTTCTTTGCACTTTGAATTACAGTTCTGAATTTAAAGAATTATTGAAAAAACAATTGAAATTTCCTTCAACATTTTGATACTTTAAATAGAAATTTTATGTTATTTAATAAACATAACAAATAATGATATCGAATGATTAGCAAATATAATGATTATGATGACAACGATGATGATGATAATGATTATTATTATTACTACTATTGTTATTATTATTATCATTACTACTATTGTTATTATTATTAGTACTATTGTTATTATTATTATTATTATTATTATTATTATTATTATTATTATTATTATTATTGTTATTGTTATTATTATTTAACTTGAAAGTTCACAGAAAATAATTGTAAGATGAAAACAATGTTATATTCAGCAAATTGTGATGATCAGCCTTTGATTGTCATTTAATAATTTTATTTCAAAAATTATGCATAGTAAATATGCAAAATTGTAAATACCAACTTATTTATACTACATTATCAAATTTGATATAAATGGAAAGCATTAAAACATTAAATATTATAAGAAACTATTAAAAATTCTTCAGATAAATGTATAGCGAACGTATTTAAAAAATTATAAAATGTAACTGTAATTTATTGAAACATTTTATAAATAATTCAATATTTATAACACAAAATGCAACCTACAATTTGCAAAGTATATTATAATTATTAGGGAAAATAGTCGGTTACATTCTCCAATTATAATAATTAGTATTTAAATTATTCTAAAGCTATTCAAAGGAATACAGAAGGAAATTTTATCTTTAAATAATTTGATCATGGTTGTATCTATTAAAGCTTCGATCTAAAGAATTGAACAAAATTATAATTTTGTAAATAGGAAAACCCTCTAGAATTGTAATACGTATGATTTTTTTCTTATGAACCGAACGAGAACAAGAGAGGAGAGAGTGAGACTTTCTTCCACTATATAGACAAGCATTTTAAGCATTTTCTTTCCTTGCCATCACCATGTTACTGTAGATATTTTATATAAGTACACGTCCTTAAATATTTTTTGTACAAAAACAAATTTCCTCTCTCTTCTTCCCGAACATTTTGTACATTACAAGTGGTCCGTTATCATTATTATTTATATTAAATATACCGAACGAGAGATTGTGAAATACAAATATTGTCATTTATTTTGTGTATGATCTAAGTTGAATACATATTTCAAATGGTTTATTTGTTACGTAAAAACTTGTTGTAAAGTTTCTTTTTTTTTTTTTTTTTTTTTTTCATGTCTTTTTATAATTCATTTAAATTAAGATTTATCCGGAATTAGCAAATTTTTATTATATAATTTATCAATGCGAGGATTAGATATTATTATTTTTTTAATCTGCACCGTAATCCGACCAACTTTAAGCTAAGATTGTTTTACATCAATTGGACATTTTACTACGCCATCTTTGATTTCAACTATTTTAAATATGTAGTCAACTATATATGTAACGGATGAGTAAACTCAATAGAAGATAAAATTAACAAAAATTTCAACGAATTACTGTCAAACGTAAGGATAGTTTATCATGGAGGGTCTGCAGATAATGGAACTATAATGTTTTGTAAATGTATCGAGATGAGCGCCGAAAGAAGCATTATGGGTTTCGGCATCATCGAAACGACGGACAGTCTTATTACTTGTGATATATCTTCATACATCAGCCAATTATCATAACGAGTCAGCCTTAATTTGTCTTTATTGCTAAATTAAGAAGTCCTTAATTTATACAACTTAATTAATAAATTATATCTTCCAACATTCACAAATTTATTTATTTACAATACGTCCAAAGAAACTCCTTCTTTTCCCCCATGTTTATTTGAATATATATAAGCTATTACCGATAAAATACATTAATAGTACATAATTATTACCATGGTGAAACCATCATGAAATAGGCTAAAATTTACATTTTTTTTTTTTTTTTTCTAAACTTCGATGTTTTGTACTTTTGCTAACAATGCGTGATATATTGAAACACAATTATATAGTTTTTCACTTCATGGAAATGTATACTACTTGCGTATATGTGAATATATTCGATAATTTTAATAATACTAAAATTTTCCAATTGCAACTAAAATTAAACTCCTGATAATTTCTTTTATTATGTGCATTATATACATTAGAGCATTATATTGTGGATTGT